TTCTGAAAACCAACCTCTCACCTGTGCTTGACACTGTCACAGTTGTGCCACGTGATTTACTGTATCGTTCATAACTTATTTATAATCTTGCAGGAAAAGGGAGCAAACCTAAGTCTACGGGGGGAAAAAAGAGGTTATTTTCTCTGCAGAACTATAACTGGAGGCATAGCTGAGGAGCGAGTTGAGATCAAGTTATTGGAGCATGATATCTGCTGGAAAATATTGATTGGCTTCCTTGTAAGGCCACTTGGAACACGACAGAACTGTCATTAGCGCTGTTTTTATTGACAAATGAGGAGACTCATAGCTGAAGAAAAAGAAAAGAATGAACTGTTCTGTCTTTTGTAATAGAGAAGATAATATCTCCAAATATGCCTTTGGGGAGCCACCAGCCAGAAGATAAAATTGCTAAAAAGATAATGACATGATGAAGGAAAGCGAATTCCTGGAACGTCCTCAGAATATTATACAGGAAGTCTGCATTAAGTGCATAAGTGTTTTGTAAAAAAAAAAAAAAACCAAAAACATTCTTTTAAAAGCATTTTATTTCATTTCCGGAGGTTCACAAATAGCTTAATGATTGGGACAATGCCAGTTAAATTGGACAGCCGAAAGAGATGCAATAGTCAAATTTACAATCAAAGTTACAGCTAACTTTGTTCTGGGGTCTATTCTACAGAAGGATCTAAATGGATGCTATACTGCAGGATCACTGGACACCTGGAGAAACCTACCAGATCTAAAATTGGAAATCTTGTGAATAATCATTCCATTTTCTACCTCTGAAGGCCCATGAAGATAAGTTGAAAAGGAGACAGGCCACGCCTAAGGGAATCTATCCAGAAATGGGAATATCCACAGTAGCAAAAAGCAAAAATAATATTGGATGAGCTATTGGTTAGAAAACAATGATAAAGCAACATATAGATTTAAAGCCAGAAATATTTTTGTTAGGTATAAGTGTCAGAAAAAATATGACAAAGGGGTTGTATATTTCATATTATATGCATTGACAGCAGCAAGAATTGTATTTGCACAATATTGGAAAAAACAAGGGAACTCCTGCGGATGGAAGCATAATTAAAAAAATATTAGATTGTGTGGAAATGGATAGGTTAATTGTAAAGATAAAGAATAAAGAGGATACAGAATAGTATTTAACATGGGATTTGTTCTTCAGATGGTTAGACAGCAGAGGTAGAAATTAGAAGTTGGAAGAATACTATTACATACAAGTAAATATTGTTATTATTATTGACATTATGCATAGATAAATTGACCCAAATATTACACTGCTTATTGAACATTTACGTATATTATAGGAAAATGTATCAATAAAACTTATAAAAAAAGAAATGGGAATATCCAGTGAGTAAAATTTCAATATCTGCTTAGCTTACTGTCAGTTCTTATGCAAAACATACTCCTTATGCAAAACAAGCCAGCAGTGAAAATGGGTGTATTTGATAACGGTTAGATGCCTCAGGTTTTTTCCCCAGATCTTTTGAAAAGGACTCAGAATTTATTTATTTATTTATTGCTAAGAATATGTCTGCCACCTGCTGTTCACTTCAGTGCTTATGGTATATTAATAACTTTTAAATAATAAGAATTCAATTGCCAGTTGAATGCCATTGTTAGTAAATCAAAACCAGTTGTAAGTGATTTATGCAGCGTTGCAAACTTAATTTTAACAGACCTCAAGCGATTTCCTTTCTCCAAAATCAGGAAGTGTTTAGGAAGCCTAATATTCTTTATCTTACTCCTGGATTTTTCTTCTTCAATTAGAGATAATCCTCTACTTACAACAGTTCATTTAGCCACCAAAGTTGCAATGGCTCTGAAAAATGAGACTTATGACCGTTTTTCCCAGTTACGAGCTTTGAAGCATCCCCATGATCATGTGATGGTCAAAATTCAGATGTTTGGCAACTGGTTCACACTTATGACCTGTCATGCCCTTGTTGGAGTCTGATTCTGAGGGGGAGGCTGAGCAGCTGACAGGGAGTGTGGCTCCGGTGGCTGTGGAAGAAACTGGGGAAGGTCAGTCTGGCTGGGCCTTCAGAGGAAGACCCAGGGCCACCCCTTCATCCTAGGGCACACAGGGCGGAATGGAGAAGAGAGCAACATGGCTTACGGGAAAGAAAAGGGCCCTGATCCCTTTCATTAGTTGCAGCTGGGAGAACAGGATATAAGAAGGGCGTTTGCACAAAGCACCTTGCTGGAAGCAAAGTGCATTATCTTTGTCGAGGTTTATCTGGATTTTGGCGTTCTCACAACTGTGTGTGCGTTGTTATCTTTTGGAAGTCTGCAATTTATTATCCTGGCCTATCGTGTTAATTTACTTCAGCATGGTTTGTGTTGTTTTTTTTTCATTTCTAATTATCTTTACCTTGGACTGCATTTCTTCCCTTTGTAGACAGTTTTTGGAAGAGTTTGATCTCCAGCGGAGGATAACTGGACATTGGGGGCCAAGTTGGAGGAATTAAAGGGAATTTATCTACTTTGGTGACTTTGTTATTTTTGTGCCATGCCCCGAGTCATCACATGACCGTTGCTGTGTTCCAAGGTCACGTGGTCAGTTTTTGCAACCTTGTGACAAGCAATGGGAAAAGCCAGATTCACTTAACAACCAGATTACTAATTTATCAACTGCAATGATTCACTTAAAAACCATGGCAAGGAAGGTCGTAAAATGAGGCAAAACTCACTTAACAAATGTCTCACTTAACAACAGACCTATTGGGCTCAATTGTGGTCATGAGTCAAGGTTGACCTGTATAGCTCTCTTCACTACAGGATAATCATTTTGTCACCCAGATCCATAAATACTCCCAAAATTCTCTCTTGGAGCTCCTTATGATAATTGCCACTGAACATTGAACAGTGCTTTCTTTCCATTTTGAGGCACAAATGCACAAAAAAGGGTAGCATTAAACTTTGGATGGGCTTAAAAATAGCTTTTAAAAAAATTAACAACTGTTTTTGAACTCTGGAAACAAAATCAAAAATCCCATTGAGGGTCATGAGCGTCCATTACCTGCGTGTCTTTTCAGGCTGCTTTCATGGTTGAACTTCTAAAGAGTTGGCCAGCTTACTAGGAAGAAAAATGGAGGAGTTTGAACCCAGGACAATAAAATTGCCCAGACTCCAAGCCACCCATTGTTTGATACTTCCATTCATATCTCCTGTGATTTACTGCTCAAAACTGAGTGCTATAAGGGATTAGAACGGAATGGAACAGAACAGAATAGAATAGAAAATATGGAATGGAATGGAATGGAATGGAATGGAATGGAATGGAATAGAATAGAATAGAATAGAATAGAATAGAATAGAATAGAATAGAATAGAATAGAATAGAATAGAAAATATGGAATGGAATGGAATGGAATGGAATAGAATAGAATAGAATAGAATAGAATAGAATAGAATAGAATAGAACAGAACAGAATAGAATAGAATAGAATAGAAAATATGGAATGGAATGGAATAGAAAATATGGAATGGAATGGAATGAATAGAATAGAATAGAATAGAATAGAATAGAATAGAATAGAATAGAAAATATGGAATGGAATGGAATGGAATAGGGTAGGGTAGGGTAGGGTAGGAGAGAACAAAACAGAATAGAGCTGGAAGGGACCTTGGAGGTCTTCTAGTCCAGCCCCCTGCTCAAGCAGGAAATCCTATACCATTTCAGACAAGTAGCTGTCTAGTCTTCTTCTTAAAAACTTGCAGTGATGGAACGCCCACTTCTCAGAAGCCAATACATTTTGGTGACCACCTGCACTTTATTCTAACTCAATAATAAGGATTTGTGTGTTTCTAGCAGCAGAAAATGTTCATTATCTTTGTAATGATACAGTTGTGGCACATCTCTGGTGAACTCCAGTCACTCAATATTGCCCACAAACAGGGCACAGTGTGGATTGCAATAAACCCCACCAATTTATTGAGTCAATTTGAAGTTTCCTTCCTCCAATTTTAATGTCTTTGGTTTCACAGGGGGATTGGGAAATGGGCAGCAGACTGGCTGATACAGATGAGAAGGGAAATAAGTGGTCAGTTTCTGTGGACTACAGAGTAGGACTTTACAATTGCAAGTGTTTTATAGGCAAATAAAGATTCTTGTGGCATCCTAAAGACGGCTACTACATAATATATGAAAATGAAATAGTTGAAGAGGTTAGCTGCTGAGAAGAGAGGAGGAGGAGGAGGAGGAGGAGGAGGAGGAGGAGGAGGAGGAGGA